CACTTCCATCGGACTCCCTGAGATCTGTCTAATGTTTGGCTGTGGGTCTCTTCATCTGTTTCTGTCAATTGCTGAGTGAAACCTCTCAGAGAAGTTATGCTAAGCTCCTGTTTACAAACATAGCAGAGTAACATTAATTGTGTCAGGGATTAGGATTCTCCCCTGGTATAGGTTTCAAGTAAGGGTTTTGGTTGGCCATTTCCTCCAACTTTGTTCATCTTTGTCCCTGCACATCTTGTAGTCAGCACCAGTTTGGGAGCAAAGGTTTTGAGCCTGATTGGTGTCCTTATCCCTCCACTGGAATCCCTTCCTAGCTATAGGAGGTGGCCATGCCTGCTGTGAGGAGTCTCACCTTAGAGTGATCCCATAGACTTTCTGAGGCCTCACTTATCCCAGATCTCTGGCAAGTCCCAGAGTTGGCCCCCCCCACCTCTTATTTCCTTTCTCTAACCATGTCCCTTCTCCCCACTTCTTCCTACTTCTAATCCCCACCTCTGCTCCACTCCCAATCTCCTATCCTACCCAGTTTCCTCCCTTCCTCAACCTCCAATGCCTCTTTTATTTTCCCATTCTGAGTAGATTCAAGCATCCTCCATTGACCCCTCCTTGTTACTTGGTTTCTTTGGGTCTGTGGATTGTAGCATGATTATCTTGTCTTATGGCTAATATCCACTTATAAGTGAGTACATACTGAGAATGTTTTTTTTTGGGGGGAGGAGTGTTTGGTTACCTTACTCAGGATGATATTTTCTGGTTTCACTTATTTTCCTCCAAATCTCATGATGTCCTTGTTTTTAATAATTTATTAGTATTACATTGTGTAAACGCACCACATTTTCTTTATCCATTCTTCAGTTGAAAGACACCTATGTTTTTTATTCAGTTTCTGGCTATTACAAATAAATCTGCTATGAACATAGTTAAGCAAGTATCCTTGTGGTATGTCAGTGAATATTTTTAGGTATATGCCAAGGAGTTGGTATAGCTTTGCCTTGAAATAGAACTATTCCTAATTTTCTTTTTTTTTTCTGTATCACTACAAATTTTATTCAGAATTTTCTTAGTAACTACCAAATTAATTCTAAAGTGGTTGTATGAGTTTTAACTCCCACCAGCAATGAAGGAGTGTTCCCCTTATTCCATATCCTACCCAGCATGTGTTTGCACCTGAGTTTTTGGTCTTGGCCATTTTGATGGGTAGAAAATGAAATCTCAGCATCATTTTTATTAACATTCTTTGGTGACTAAGAAATTGAATGTTTAGGTTGTCCTAGATAGCTTTTAATTGAAAAATAGATAAAGAAAATGTAGTACATTTACAAAATTTAAGTTTTAAAAAGAACATCATAAAATTTACAGGTAAATACTGACACTTTGACCTCTTCCTTTCCGAATGGTATCCCCTTCATCTCCTTTAGTCGTCTTATTACTCAGGCTAGGAATTCAAGAACTATATTGAAGAGATATGGAGAGAGTGGGCAGCCTTGTCTTGTCCCTGATTTCAGTGGGATTGACTTAAGTTTCTCTCCATTGAATTTGATGTTGGCTATAGGCTTGCTGTATATTGCCTTTACAATGTTTAGGTATGTGCCTTGTATCTCTCATCTCTCCAAGACTTTAAACATGAATGGGTGTTGGACTTTGTCAAATGCTTTTTTGGCATCTAAGGAGTTGATCATGTAGTTTTTCTCCTTCAGTTTGTTTATGTGGTGGATTGCATCGATGGATTTTCATATATTGAACCACCCCTGCATGCCTGGGATGAAGCCTACTTAGTCATGGTGGATGATATCTTTAATGTGTTCTTGGATTCGGTTTGCAAGTATTTTATTGAGTATTTTTGCCTCAAAGTTCATAAGAGAGATAGATCTGAACTTCTCTTTTTGTTAGGTAGTTTTGTGGTTTAAGTATCAAGGTGACTGTGGCTTCATAGATGAGTTTGATAATGTTCCTTCTGTTTCTATTTTGTGGGATAGTTTGGAGAGAATTGGAGTTAGCACTTCTTTGAAGGTCTGCTAGAATTCTGCACTGAATCCATCTGGCCCAGGGATTTTTTTGGAAGGGAGACTGTTGATGACTGCTTCTATTTCCTTGGGGGATATAGCACTGTTCAATCTTTCTACCTGAACTTGACTTAATCTTGGTAGATGGAATCTATCAAGAAAAATTGTCCATTTCTTTTAGATTTTCGAATTTCGTGGCATATAGGCTTTTGTAGTAGGATCTAATGATTGTTTGGATTTCCTCGGTGTCTGTAGTTACGCCCCCTTTTTCATTTCTGATTTTACTGATTTGGATAGTTTCTCTCTGTCTTTTAGTTAGTTTGGCTAAAGGTTTGTTTATCTTGTTGATTTTCTCAAAGAACCAGCTGTTGGTTTCATTGATTCGTTAAATTGTTTTGTTTCTAACTGATTGATTTCAGCCCTGAGTTTGATTATTTCCAGCCGTCTGCTCCTCTCGGGTGTATTTGCTTCTTTTTTTTCTAGGGCTTTCAGTTGGGCCATTAAGTTGGAGGGAATAAGGAAGCGGATACAGTGGGATACAGCTGGGATACAGACTTAATAAAATGTAACTAATAATAAAAAATAAAATTAAATTTAAAATAAAATTACAGGCAAACAGATACAACTAGACAATGTTATACTGAGTGAGCTAACCCAGACTTAGAAAAAAATATATGGTATGGATTATCTTACAAATGTAAATTAGCTGTTGAGTAAATGATCAAGTTACAATCTACAGGCCCAGAGAGGTTAGGTAAAGAGGAGTGTCATAGGGGAGTAGTGGGGATCTTTCTGAAATTAGAAAATATAATAGGTTCAAAGGGTAGACTGTGTGCAGGTGGGGAGTAGAGCAAGAGTTATCAGGTGGTATGGAGAGAGTGAGGCTATGGAGAGAAAGATGGAGATGGGACTATTTGGGGCTACTGGGAAATCTTAGTGCATTATGATCTTCCTGGAATCTATGAGACTTAACTTAGAGAAGGTCTCCTATTAATGGAGGATGTGGAGACTGAACTGGCCAACATTTATAGCCAGGCAAGGCTCCCAGTGATGGAACGTCTTTACAGTTGACTGAGTTTGGTTGAGGTTTCATGAAGATAATTTAAAAAACCCAGGCTGACACTAAGATAGAGGTTGCTCTATGAAGACCGAGAGTGGGGCCCCGTTGCAGAGGACAACTTTTACCCATCTCCTTGCACATAGGGAAGTCAAATTTGTGCAGGCATGAACACTTCATCTCCATGTTCTAGTCTCTCGGTGCATAAAGGTGCAATGAAGGCCACCCTTGACACTAACCCAGCAAAAACAAAAACAAAAACCTCACCAACAATCTGTCTAAAATCATGCCTGTAAGACGTGATGGTACAATGGTGGGACAGAACTTGTGGGAGTGGCCAACCAATGTTTGGATTAAATTAAGGCCCATTCTACAAGAGGGAGCCCACGAGCTACACTGTTGGATGTCCAGGAACAAAAGACTGGATAACCCAGAGACCTAACGTGGAACCAAACATGACTAGCACACATACTCACACACACCCACACAGCCCTCTACCACAGTCAATAAGGAAATGCCTAATGATATTCTTCTACATTCAAAAAATGTCTTTTTCAAGCATCATCACAGAGTCTTACACCAGCAACAGATAGAAATAGGTAGAGAGGCCCACAGATAGATATTATGCAAAATTATTCTAAGCTGGAGGTCTCCATTCCCTTCCCTCAGAGATTGGGAACTCCATGTAAACGGAAAAGGAAAGACTTCAGGAGTGAGAGGGGATGGAGGACATCAGTAGAACATAGCTCACTGAATCAACTCAGCAGGGACATGTGCTCACAGAAACTGAAATTTCAAGCAATTGGCCTGAATGGGTCTATACAAGGTCCTTTGTATACATTTTATGGCTATTAGCTTGGTATTTTGTGGGTGGAGGGTGTATCTCTGACTCTTTTCTCTATTCTTGAGACTCTTTTCCTCTTATTGGGTTACCTTATCCAGACACTATATGAGGGCTTTGGCATGTTTTATTGTATCTTCTTATTCCTGTTTGGCTGCTGTCTCTTGGATGCCTGTTCTTTTCTGAAGATAAAATAGAGGGGAAGTGAATCTGTAGGAGAGGAAAAGCAGGACAGCCAAGAGGAGTAGAGTAAGGAGAAACTGTGATTGGAATGTATTGTGAGATAGAAAATTTTATTTTCAATAAATAAAATTTACTTAAAAATAAATACAATTTATTTTATTTATTGAAATGTAATCAAAATACAAACCTGTATCCATTAGAATGAAGCAAATACAATAAAATGATATTCTTTTACCTCTTTATGTATCATATCTACCCTTTGGGAAGTTAACAGCCTATCTTTCATGAAGTTTTCTCTCTCCGTTCTTAACTGTTCTGTGCACTTACATAGACAGAGGCTTGTAAGGTTGAACCAACTCAAATATGCAAAAGTATGTGCTCCATAAGTCAAAATGTGAACATATACACCTCATGATTATGGTAGTAAAACTGACCACTGGGGTGCTATTTTCTCATGAGTTTTGTACCTTCATTTGTATAATTAATTATTAATTGTAACAAGCTATATATTTTAGGTATAATACTTTTGCCCTATTACTGTGTGTATAAATATTCACAGGGAATCATCAATGAGGTGGACAGACTTCACTAGTAAGGAACAAGCTTCATTTGTGACCTTGAAATATACAGTTTGCCTATGTATATTAAATTCAAGCTTTTATGAATCTCCAGTTCTAAATTCTTGCACACAAATATGAATGGGGTTTTTTTTTGCTTTCTTTCAACATAAAACAAAACAGTTCTTTTAAACATGTGTGAAAAACAAAAATAATGAGTATTTAATGGTTCTGACATCATTATAAATTTAATAGAAAATGATTTCAATACATGTTGTCAATCGACCCAATTGATTTGCTGTGATGCAGCAAAAAAGGAAAGTGTTAGTAACCTTCAAAACATTTGTTTAAGGATTTCCATGACTAGCAGAAAAAAAAATTACACTGATAACATTTTGTTTTCCATCTCAGATCTAGATCAATGTGTGATGTGTCCAGATGATCAATATGCCAATGTAGAGAGAAGTCACTGCTTCCCCAAAGCTGTGACATTTCTGGCTTATGCAGACCCTTTAGGGGTGGCACTGGCCTGCATGGCCCTGGGTTTATCTGCATTAACAGCTCTTCTTCTCGGGATCTTTGTGAAATACCAACACACTCCCATTGCGAAAGCCAATAACTGCACTCTCAGCTACATCCTGCTTGTGTCTCTTTTCCTTTGTTTTCTCTGCTCTCTGCTCTTTCTTGGACATCCAACCACAGCCAGATGTCTCCTGCAGCAGATTACCTTTGGGATTCTGTTCACTGTGGCTGTTTCCAGTGTTTTGGCCAAAACGATTACTGTGCTTCTGGCTTTTCACTTGACTGCCCCAGGAAGAAGGGTGAAAGGGCTGCTGTTATCTGGGACACCCAAAGTCATCATTCCTATCTGTTCCATTTTTCAACTTATTCTCTGTGGATTCTGGCTGGGAATGTCTCCGCCCTTTGTGGAGAGAGATGCACACTCTGAACATGGCCACATCATCATCGTATGCAACAAGGGTTCAATCACAGCCTTCTACTGTGTGCTGGGATACCTGGGCTGTCTGGCCATAGCAAGCTTCATTGTGGCTTTCCTAGGCAGGAATCTGCCTGACACCTTCAATGAAGCCAAGTTCTTGACATTCAGCATGCTGGTGTTCTGCAGTGTCTGGCTCACCTTCCTTCCTGTCTATCACAGCACTAAGGGGAAAATCATGGTGGCTGTGGAGGTCTTCTCCATCTTGGCCTCTAGTGCAGGCCTTCTAGGCTGCATCTTTATTCCCAAGTGCTATATTATTTTGTTAAGACCGGATAGAAACATTTTACAAAAGTTCAAAAGTACAAATCAACCCTGACACATCCTTAAAATTTAAATCATACACATAATACTACAACAAAGCCCAATAACAACACCTCAGTGCTCTAACCTATAAATAATACATTTCAATATGCTACTTGTTTCCAAACAAAATTAAAGTGTTAAAGAACATTTTTACTTTAATGCTGTTTGTGTATTAATTTTAAGAACATTATATTCTCTTCTTGTTTTATGTTTTGTGTTTACTCACATTTTGTCAGTTAATTTATAGGAATCTATGTGAATAATTACTGGAGAGATCATAGGTTTTTTTTGAATCAAAGTAAATAATTGATCAAAGTTAATTCTGAGTCTATTTCTGGAAATACTGTGCCTTTTACTATTTATTTCCTCATATATTCACTTTACATCCTGATCTCAGGCCCTCCCTCTTTTCCTCCTGGTCTCACCCTCCCTTCATATTTCCTCTATCCTTCCTCCCCTACTCCTCAGAAAAAGAGAGTCCCTTACTCACCAGCCCACACGTCAAGTCACGTCACGAATGAGCACATCTTCTTTCTCTATGGCCTGGCAAGGCCGTTCTGCCAGGGGGAAGTGTTCAAAAAGCAGGTTACAGAGTCCATGTTAGAAACATCTCCCTCTCCATTTTCTAGGGCACCTACATGAATGCCAAGCTACCCTACTGCTACCTATGTAAAGGAGCCTAGGTCAAGTCCATGCATGGTCATTTGTTGGTGCATCAGTCTCTGTAAGACCCCTGGGCCCAGGTTAGTGGGCTCTGTTGGTCTTCATGTGGAGCTCCTGTCCCATCTGGGTCCTATTCTTGTCCCCATTCTTCCACAAGGCTCCCTATGCTCTGCCCAATGTTTGGCTGTTTCAGCATCTGTTTTGCATTAAAGGCTAAATGCACAACCAAAAATATAGGAAATGGTGTGTTTTAGTAAGGTTTCCATTGATGTGTAAAGACACCATGACCACGGCAACTTTTATAAGAAAAACATCTTTGGGATGGCTTACAGTTTCAGAGCTTTAGTGTATTATCATCTTGGTTGGAAGCATGGAAACATACAGTCAGACTTGGTGCTGGAGCGGAAGAGAATTTTACATCTTGATCCCAAAGCAAGCCGAAGAAGATTGTCTTCTTAAGGCAGCCAGAAAGAGACTCTGTTTTCACACTGGGCAGAAAAGACCTTAAAGCCAGGCCCCACAGTGACACACTTCTTCCAAAAATGCCACACTTACCTCAAAAAGGTGCCACTAATAGTCCCACTGCTAATGTGCTACTCCACATGAGGCATGCTTTCAAACACATGAGTCTATGGAGATCTAGCTCAGTCAAACCACCATATGGTGGAAAGATGATTATTGATTATTGTTGAATGCTAAATAAAAATTAAAGATATATAATGGGAGGAGGAATATTCCACATCATATTGTTCAAAGCAGGGTTTTGCTCCTGGGAAATGGTGAAACCTCCATGTGGAAAAGGAATGATTGTAAACTCATGATTTATTTAAGAAATTTTGTTAAAGAAATTCCATGTCCAAGTTACAAGAGGGAATACTGAACATTGCAAGATGACCTGGAAAAGACCCAGAAATTCAGCTATTTAATAACATATTCTGAGATTGCTGTAATTTCTGAAATCTACTGAGAATAGCACAGAATAATTCAGGTTCTACACATACTGTAAAAGCTCTGAAATTACATGAAAGATATGCTATTGAAATTATACAACAGAAAATTGAAAAAGGATGTGTTGTTACAATTTATTTCATTTACTTCATTCATATTTTCATGAAATATAGATGATTACAATTTTGTGAATATATAATATTACTTCTTAGTTGCTTGTTTAAATATAAATAATCATAACTTAAGATGTGTGTATAAGTAAGATCTGAAGAGGACAGGAACTCCATAAGGAGAGCAACAGAACTAAAAAATCTGAGCACAAGGGTCTTTCCTGAGACTGCTATTCCAACCAAGGACTATGCATGGAGATAACCTAAGACCCCTGCACAGATGTAGCCCATGGCAGTTCAGTATCCAAGTGGGTTCCATTGTAATAGGAATAGGGACTGTCTCTGACATGAACTGATTGGCCTGCTCTTTAATTTCCTCCCCCTGAGGGGGAAGCAGCATTACCAGGCCACAGAAGAAGACAATGCAGCCACTACTGATGAGACCTAATTGACTAGGATCAGAAGGAAGGAAAAGAAGTCCTCCCCTATCAGTGGACTTGGGGAGGGGCATGCATGCAGAGGTTGGAGGAAGGGAGGAATTGGGACGGGAGGAGGGAGGGAACCATGGGGGGGATATAAAGTGAGTAAAGTGTAATTATTAAAGATAGATAGATAGATAGATAGATAGATAGATAGATAGATATTAAAAGGTGTGTATAGTGTAACTACATGTGTGATTTATGATATATGTTATTTTTATATACACATAAATATCAAAATAATAGTCTTTTTGTCATCCAGCAAGAGTTCTATGATTAGATGCCATTGGCCTTCAAAGACTTGTGTGGAAGAGTTTTCCTTGTCAGTGTGTGAAGATTGAAAAGTTGTGGTCATTGAGAAGTTTTCCTTAATGGGTATCTATTGTCTGCCTCTCCTTTCTCTGTGAATTTATTTTCACCATTTATCTGTCTACCTCCACATCATGAAGTCATTTATGGTAAACCAAGGTATCCAAGGTATGAGGTCTGGCTAGTGAGATATCATATTGATATTTGGACTCTGAAATACCATGTTAATAAGTAGGCTACATAACACGAACTTTTAAAATGTAAGTGGAGATGTCAGACATGGAAATAAGCAATGGGTTTAGTACAAGAAAACTTGCTTTAGGAGGCAAATTATATTTTTACCACATATCACACAACAAGATAATCAGCAAAGATTCATAGTCTCTGCCTTACTCTAGTGATGATAAAAGTGAACAGACCAACAGCAGGTGATGAGAAAAATACAAATATGGTCATTAAAAGTAACCATGCTATAAGGCCAAAAACTACAATTACTTCTATAAATTACTCTCATTCAGACATTTTTGTTCCTCTGGTAAGTATCGTTTGCCTTTTCTTTAGATATGTGAAAACTGTCAAGTCAAGATGAACATTTGAAATGATATTAAAAATAGAATCTTTACTAAGCCATCATTACTAAGGATATAACTCATTAGATAACATGACTTGCATAAGAGTTCCTGGGTCCACTCCCAAAGACCACAGGATACTTCAGTGATTGATCACTAACTGGTTATAGAAAAAAGTCTCTTACTGTGTGAATGTTTACAGAAGAAGGCTTAACTTATACAAGCAAGAATATGAGCTAAGGCTCACAAACAATAAAGAGAAATAAATAAATCTGGTAGTTTCTCAGAAAATTGAGACTATTCCCACATCAAGACCCAGCTATACCACTCCTGAGTATCCATCCAAAAGCTGTTTCACCATGCAACAGGGAGACTTGCTCAACTACGTTCATAGCAGACTTATTTGTAATAACCAGAAACTGGAAACAACTCAAATGTTTCTCAAGCAAAGAATAGATAAAGAAGCATTGTTAATTACACAATGGAATAATACTAAGCTATTGAAAACAAGGACATCTACTTTCAGCAAAGTAGATAGAGCTAGAAACTAAATCCTGAGTGAGGTAACCCAAAGCCAAAAAGACATGCATATTATGTACTCACTTAAAGTGGATATTAACCATAAAGTACAAGATAACTATCCTACAATCCTCAGACCCCAAGAAGCTAAGTTACAAGGGGGGCCCCAGCGAGGACACAGGATCACTTATGAGGGGAACTAAAAGAGACAATGGAGGTGGAAGCCCCAAGCAATCTAAGCAGGTCACCCTACCTGAGACTCAGCATTGCGAAATATAAAGCCTGAAGTGACCACCTCCTGAAGCCAGGCAAGATGTGGAGCTGAGCTAGGCACTGGACTCAAGTCCTATTGTCTGCCATCTCAAGGAAGCCAGTAGGGCACTGGAGCAGCTCTAGGCTCAGAGATCTTTCTGCCTGCTTCTCCCCAGCAGCCGGGCCCATCTAGGTCAGAAATGAGTCCCCAGAACAGCGAGTGAACGCACTAAAGCTGAGCCAGGCCTGGGATCTAAATCCCATTGTCTGCCACCTCAAGGAAGCCTGTGGGATATTGGAAGAGCTCTAGGCTTGAAGATCTTTCCACCTGCACCCCAGCTATCTGGCATACGTGGGTCACAAACAGTGAGGCAGGCAGAGACTGAATCAAGCAAAGAACTACCCCCCAGACTCCAGAGACAGATGGACCCAGTCTGCAGTATAGGATCCAGGAACAACTAGTCAAGGCTAAAGACAATCAGATGACTTGAGGCCAGCATAAAAATACAGGCAACAAAACCCAGGACATGATGGCTTTACCATAATCTTCAAAAATCAACAGATATTCTATTGCAACTGAAACAAAAAAAAAATCTTAAATCTATAATTATGTAGTTATTCAAGGCACATAGAGGAAATGAACAAAAAATAGAGATACATAAAGAGAAAATAAACAACAAAATAAAGGCTATCATGGACAAACAGGAATCCACATTCAAACAGATGAAGGAAATGGTGTAGGACATGAAAACAGAATTAGAATCAATAAAGAAAACACAAACAGAGAAAACCCTGGATTTGGAGAACTTAGAGGCAAGATCAGGAACCAAAAGGTAAGCATCACCAACAGAACACAAGAGATGGAGGAGAGAATCTGGGGCGCTGAAGATACAATTGCAGAAATCAATACATCTCTCAAAGAAAACATAAAGTCATAAAAGGCAGAGGGACACTATCCAAATCAACAAAATCGGAAATGAAAAGAGGGACATAACGACAGACACTGAGGAAATACAATCATTCAGTCCTACCTCAAAAGCCTATATGCAACAAAATTTGAAAATCTAAATGAAATAGACGATTTTATCATTTATCATTTTATCATTTAGATTCCATTTACCAAAGCTGAATCAAGATGAGGTAAATAAATTAAATAGTCCTATA